AGGCATGGGTTGGTTGGTTTCTTTGTTTTAATTAGTGAGAAGAATATCAGAACATAAATTAAGTGTTCAGTGCATTAAACACTAGTACCATGTCCATGTCTTTTTAACACATTAATAAGACAGAAGGAGAGAATCATGTATTTCCTTTCTATCCCATATTTAAAATATGTACTTACTAATTCATATTTGAGAAATTAAAATAAGCCTAAAAATAAAACTAAGACAAATGTCCTAACTATTAAACTAGTTGGCAGCTGGCAGGCTCACCACTACTCCAGCTCCTAGGACTAGTGTTTCTGAGGATAACTACCCAATGCCAACTTTTGGACTCTTCTTTTTGCCTTTTTCCTTTGTAGACAAAGTCTCAATACATAGACCAGGCACAAAGTAGCCCAGGCTAGCCTTGAACTCGTGATCCTCCAGGTGTGTGCCACCACATCTGGCTTCTTCATTCCTTTAGAAAGACTAAGTAACAGTGATTTCAGCTACATCCCACCTTGCTCTGAGGGTGAGAACACAAAAATGGATGCAATAAGCCCAAAGACCTATAGTTCTATACTCTTGCTGTTGATTACTTTCAGATTATAAGTAGTTGTCATTATCTTTCAGGATTTGCTTTAGAAATAATACCTCTAACAGGGATGAAGACATGAGACACCATCCCTGTGAAAAATCCGGACACACATAGAAGAGGATACTGACAGCTCCTTGGGGGAGCATTTAAAGTCTTAGTCTTGTAGAAGATACCAGAAAACTGAATAGCTACTTTGTTGATGCAGTTTTTTATGAAGAAAGAAAAAAATAGTTCCATAAGCCAGTGGTCAATGAAATTTTAAAAACACAAGATGTTACTCAGGGGTAAGCTGCCGGCAGGTGGACAGTAGCCAGGCCTAGAGGTCAGTGAGGGGTGCTACAAGGCTGCAGGCTGAAGGCCACAGACAAGCATCAGTTTCCTCAGGTACCCACGAAAATGCATCCCTAAGGATGGACCCATAGATCAGCCAAAAACCTGTGACGATCCGCCCAGAATGCAGTGAAATCCAACAGCGGGCTTACAATGTACTGTTGGGACTGAAACCTAGAAGGAAGCTTACAGATCCATTTCTGGGTTTCCTAACACCACAGGACATGAGCCAAACCAATAAACACACAGCAGGCTTTGTGAATTCTATTATACAATTAACAAACAACAACAACAACAAAAAAACCCTGTGCAGTATGCTTATCTTATAAATGTGACACAAAACAAAAGTGAAACCAAATGAATAGACGACATCAAGAAAATACCAACAACTGCTCACTGGAGTTACAGGTTCAGACTCCAGCCTTGTTCTAAGCATCAACCCCAGAAGAGGCAGCTTTGCCTCCAGATGGAATCGAGTTATTGCTTTCTCATTTCCAAGGCTCACTGTACATTCTTAGCTATGCAACCTTGGATATTAATCCGTACTACTAACTACTAACCCCTTCCGTAGTTTCTGTCTATACAAGGGGCTGTACCTACCTTACCGGAGAACTGAATAAACCATATTGTACATGGTGGTGGTCAGCAAGCAGCAGAAAAGCTGCTACGTTCCTGCAGCGTGGCAATGAACCCTTGTCCACACAGCATCTGTAGTTAAGCAAGAAGCAAATACCTGAGGTGCCACAGGCACGCCTTCCTGCTGAGGACTCCCTCTGAGGGGTACTGCGCCTATAAATAATGTGGGGTTTGTTCTGTTCCTCTTCATCCTCTTGCTCATCCACAGACAGCAGTGGTTCAATGAAATAATCTCCATCGTGGGACCGGAATGTGCCCATCTGTGCAGAGAGAGGAGAGGTTGATTGAACACAGCTCAGCCAATGGGAGGGACAAGAACACAACACAAAGAATGAGGTAATCCCAGGTAGGAGCAGGAGTGGTTTGCTCGGCCCCTCCCTGAGAGGGCTGAGGTACCCTGGAGCAGCTGTGGCTTATCTTCACTCTCTGCCATATTGGAAGCTAATTCTTTACTTGATGATGTGTTACACCTGCTATCCAAGCCCAGCTTTTCCTTGGTGCTTAAGTTCCAGCTCTCTTATTCTTCCTCCAGCAGGCTCAAACGGTGGAGTGCTCAGGCTGCCTGGAAATCCACGGACACCAGAGCATAGCAGAGGGACAAGCTGGCTGGCCCAAACTTTCTCCTTTCACATTCACCAGGTACAGGAAAGCCACCGTGCCTTCAAGGTGGTGTTGCCTGTAACCCTGACACGGTCTCTTCTGGTTCCCTTTGCCAAGGCAGAGTGATATCCCGAGAGGCAGTGTTGTTAACACCCTGTCATGTGCGCTCCCAGCACCACACCTATCCTCCTTGAGCAACTTTCCTTGCTGGTCTGAGCTTTCACATTTGGTCTGTTGGAGATAAAGTTCCTTCTTCAAGTTAACCTGTGAAGGTTAAATAGGATAACACCCGCCATGCACGTAGCCCAGTGCAAGAACCTTCTAAGGCTTTGAAGTGATCAGTGGGTTTTGGTGTAGCTCATTAGTTTTAGGTCAGTTTGCTCTTGCCAAGTACTATGGACACCTTGAAAAAGGCCATCTCCCTCCCTTCCCTCTTCACGTATCTACAAGTTTTGCAAATGATGCACAATGCCTCAAGCTTGAACCATTCAATGTCATATGAACATTGAAAGCGCCCAATGGGCCCCGTCTCAGAGGAGACACCAAGTTTTTCTCTCTCCCCACACTGAAAACAACCAGAAACCTTCTCTCATTTCCTGGACACAGGAAAAAAGATCACCCCTGAAGAGATGCCGGGGTGACCTGCACCAGCATCCTCCAGATCCGGTTAGAGAGCCAAGACCTCTGCCTCACATTTGCTGCACTGCGCCCAAATCTCTGCGATCAGTTGGAGAATCCGAATTTTAAGACACTCCCATGGTTCTTATACAAGAAAAGGTGCCAGGCTAAGGCACTGCCTTTTCAAAACCAAGGGGGATCAAGACAGCCTGGGAGAATTTTTCTTTTTTTTTTCTGATGAAATTTGGGATGCCGCTCTATAGTTACAGATTCAGAATTTCTGGGTGTGACGTCTAGAACTCGACTTTTTAAAGCAGCTCCCCTCGTGACTCAAGCTCTTAGACTCAGGCAGAAGTCAGTTTTTGTGTAGTCTGACAGATTGACAGATCACCGGAGAAGCAGCAAGTTAGCACATTCGTGCTCACCAAAGCACCTCTGTCTGCGGTCAGTACGTAACTGGTGTTTTCTCAGCACGGGGCAAGGCAGGTCTATGGGAGGCAGGACTAGTGAACGGAACCCACGGGGCACAGAAAGGTAGTGTTGTGTCCTAAGTTGCCCTTCAGTGGTACAGAGCAGCTTAGTGTTCACGGCAGTTCTTGAACTCACAATCCTGACTTCACATCAGTGTCTTCAAAAAAACGAATCCAGTCATTTTCCTGAGGAGTGGGAACTGGGCCTCTGGCCTATGGTTAAGAGTATGGATAAGAAAGGCTGAGGTGAAATGACAACATGATCACCTATCAGCATGAGGCCTGGGGCAAGATGATTGTTCTGAAGGCCCAGGCATTCTTACCGGCAAAATGGGTAGCTCTGAGGTCATTGTACCACAGAGCCTGCAGCAAAAGCTCAATAAAGGGTAATAATATGGAGACAAGATGAATTTTGTTGTTGGTTCAGAAATAACCACTGGGACCCAACTTATCTTGTGTTGGCTGAGGTGACCATTTGTTTACATATGTGTACATAATTATGTATATATACACACCATGTACTGTCTATATACTGTAGCATGTGAGTGGAATGGATAGGTGTTGGTGCAAATGCCTAGGACAGAAGAGGAGAACACATGCGCAGTGAACATCTGAAGAGAGACAGTGTCTGTGATTTTGGAGCAGAGGGCTGAAACCACATGGAAAACTATGGAGTCCTGTGAGGAAGTAGAAATGAAACAATGTTTTAAAAGAAAAAAATGTTGACACAGAAATGTAGCTCTCTTGCTGGCAAATACAAGACCCAGAGTTCAATTGTTAGCAACACACACACACACACACACACACACACACACACACACACACACACGGTGGGCAATATAAGTACTGAACACAGGAAATTAAAAGAGAGTTGAGAGAAAGCATAAAGCTGACTACGTGAAATAGGGAATTTCAGAAGATGAAACTAAGACGAAATTGGACATTGGGCTACGGGTGAGGTGATGTAATGTTAGGATCTTAAAGAACAGCTGTGGAATTTGGTACTGTTCACTAGAATATGAGGAGATGGGTAGGCTATGTGAACACTGGTGTCAATGAGTTCTTGTGGCCCAGTTACTAACCTGCTACTGGTGTGTGGCAGGGATTGAGAAACATGGCTGGGAGGGAAGAGGGTAGATGGAGGGGTTCCTCAGACGGTGGTCCTACGGAGAGGAAGAGAGGCAGGGACTGAAGTCCAGACATCCCCTCAGCAAAGGAGAGCAATGTATGAGATGGCATTCAGAAAAACGGAACTGGCGCGTCTGGGGAGTGTGTGGTGGGTGCCTAGTTTTGGATCACTCTAAAGAGGGCAAGTTTCCTGGAAGCCTTCTTAGGCAGCCAGGAACATCATCATGTAGGGACTGCTGCAGAAATGATCAAGATGAGCCTTGGGAGGAAATAAAAATTCCAGGAGACAAACAAGGTCGGAAGAGCTTAGTGGGCAGTACAGCTTAGAGATAGATTAGTGGCCACAGGTACAAAAACCTAGTTCACGCATTTAAAAAATATAGGTAGCCTCCCCCCCCCCCCAGAAAAGGCACCTTGCCAATTACACGCATTGTAAATGGGGCTAGGAGAGTCCAGGGAGTCCTTTCAGAAGAAGCCCCGATTCTCAGTTCTCAAGGAGACCACGTGCACTGTGTTACCATGTAAAACCACCAATGGAAATTAAAGTCCTACGCAGAAAAATATTTATACAACTGCTGGGGCCACTCGGATTCCACCGGTGTGTAGGCGGGGAAAGAGGAGGAGTAAAGACTGTTTACCAACGAAGTACACAGCAGCCCTATCTAAGAACCAGGAACTAGGGGTCCCTAGCTTTAAATCGGGGGTGCGCTGGTTCTCTGGGATCCGCTTCAAGGCTTTTTTAACCTACCTAGGCGATAACCTCTCAAAAATCGCAGCCATTCTAGTGCCCAGGCCCAGGTTTGAGTTCGTGATGACTCAACGCAGCATCCCCTCCCCTTGCCAAACAGCGGTCTCCGCCTACCCCCAATCAATCTCAACCAGGCACTTTGGGCGCCAGGCTTCCGAGAGCTTAGCTGGTGGGTAAGGGGGCTCATCCCCTTCCCTGCATCCCAGCAGGCTAGACCTCCCCTCCTCCCTGTCTTCTGGAGTGCAGAGTTCCCGCCGGGATCCTGTTTTTGGAAGGCTTAGAAGGATGTAACCTCCAGACCTGGACGCAAGAACCAGCCAGCGAATGTGGCAACCTAGCGTTCGAGTGAGTACCCAAGCCCCCACTTAGAAAGAGGAGGAGGGTGTGTGTGTGTGTGTGCCAAGGGGAGAGAGTAAGTGCACCAGGGGCACAGACTTTTAATAGCCAATTGTGCGTAATGCGCGGTGCAGTGAGCTAGGAGAACGAGCCGCGGGAAACTTTCTGCGTCATACGCGCGTGGTAGAAACGCACGTCGCTTGGGGAAGAGAAGGACCACCCTAGTTGGGTCCAGGATTGTATGACACTCTTAATTGTCTTACGAAATGGGGGCGGATGCCTTGTTAGTTCCAATTTAGGGTAAATGGAGGGGTCAGGAAGCAGGGGGTGGAGGTACCAACTTGGATCTCCCACTATGTGCCCACTTGGCAGCACAGGGTGGTATCCGTCGCACGCAACCTTCCTAGAGAAACGTGCGCCATACATTACTATTCCTGTCCTTTGGAACTGCCCCGGGTTCCAGAAGAATGGGACTCTTCTAAAGGCTACCTACCACTCCAGTCTCTCTCTCTCACTACTCTAGCGCCTCCAGCCACCACGCCAGCAGGGTGCAGAGTCGGACTGCAGTGCACCACCCCCTCCTCCCCTCCCTTCCACTCCCAAACACAGCCTTAGAGACAGGCTCCGCCCTCACTCCCAGCTCTCAGAGTACTTGGCTCACCCTTCCTTTCCCGGGACAGGATCAGCTTCCCTGTCAATCTGGTTCAGTTTCAAAATTCCTTGCACGTGATAAAAGGCTCTGAGAGGAAAGAACGCAGGGACACTAGGTTATGTACCCCCGTTCACTGCAAGAGATATCCCAGCATTCCAGAAGGGGTGTCCCGGGATTGTCAGTTTACATTCCTGACTCAGGAAGCGCCGAGGAGTTAGGTCCGCCCTGCGCTCAGCTGCTCCGCTCCAGGGCGGCCAAGTTTGCTACAAGAAACTACAACCCCTGCAACTTTCTCTGAGTTTGTAAGCCGACGTGCAAGCTACTCTGCAGAGCTGGGCTAAGCACAGCAAACGCAATCCATCCCCAAGACAGCTCCAAAAGATCCACGACCCTCTGGGGACAGATGCCTACTCTCTTCTCGAGTGTAAGCGCACCCCACCGGTAGACCACCAAATCCCGGGACGTAAGCCAGTGTTGATATTTAACGCCAGAACATAGACTCGGTAGGTTCAGACTAGGGTGCAATTAAGTCTTAAAGAAGCAGACGAGGAGGCGGGGAGGAGGAAAGGGGCACGCGCCCACTTACCATTCCGGAGCACAGGCTGATGACCGCAGTGTGCTCGGACTTGGTATTGACATGGCCTTTGTAGAAACAGTGCCTAAGTTCCATTTCCTCTTCGGAGTACAGCTTACTCTGGTTCACCCCTGGCTCTCCAAAGAGGGTGACAGTGAACAGTGGAGCGATAAATCCGGTATGGGCGGTGAGATTAAATAGAAACTTCTGGCCGAAGGCTGAGAGGCGGTAATGCGCCTGGGAAGAGGTAGAGGAAGACGAGGAGGAGGCGGCGAAGGCAGGCCAGGGGTCAGAGGCAGAGTTAATGCTTCGTCGCCTTCTTTTGAAGTGCACGTTCGTGGGAAAAGGTTCCCCGAGGGTGTTCACTCGGATGGGAGACGCGATCTCATATTCGCTCAGAGTCTCTAATAATTTCACTGCAGGGAGAAGCAGAGGCAAATGAGCTAATCATTCATTTCTGCGAAAGTTTTAATTTAAAAAGAAGATGGGGGGCTTTGTCCTGACTTATTTTGCAGTCCCTCCGTGTCAATTCTTTCACCTTCCATCTCTGGTCAAATATTTGTCGAGCGCCTACTGTAATAGTAACAGCCAACAACTAAGTGAGGCGCTGAGAACACAGCGTTAGAAGTCAGACAATGAACAAATCTAGAAACATCAGATAATTACAGGTTCTGATAAATTCCTGAATAAAATAAAATGTGCGCTCTCCGGTGATCCCAGCTACTAAGTAGCATCGATTTGGGACAGGGAATAAGGAGAGTAAAAATCAGGCAAAAAAGAGCTGGGGGTGGCCCTAAAATTCCTGCAGTGCCTCCCTCCCTAGTAGTTGGCTAGGGATGACCCAGAGAAGGGAGAGGCTCCAAAACAGGAGGTAATTCTTTCTAGGAAAAGGAGAGAGGCCTCTGCTGCGGGGTACCCGCCCCGGAGCGTGTTCGAGGAGGTGGCGATGGAGTGTGTGTGTGTGTGTGTGTGTGTGTGTGTGTGTGTGTGTGTGTGTGTGGTGGTGGTGGAGGGGGGGGACCTTGAGGGTCCAGAGCCACGTTACCTTGCCTCGGGTGCAGCTTGTCCTTGCGCACGGCCGCCGCGGCGTCAGGGCTCCTCATCTCAACCAGGTCCGGCACCAGGAGCGTTAGCAGTGTGGCCCAGGATACTAACTGCATGGTGCTCCTCACCCCTCCCCCCCGCTTCTCCCACCCCCTCCCTCCTGCCGGCTTTGGTGGCTGGCGGCGACGCGAGGCAGAAACAGTGGAGAGCGCGCGGAACCCCGGCGCCCTGCCGCCAACTTTTTGACTTTAGGAGTCGCTGAGGTCTTGCAGAGAGGGTCCCGTCTGCGCTCGGCTGAGCAACGCTGCCGCCTGCCGTGAGCTGAGCGGCTCGGGCCGCAGGAGGAGGAGAAGGAGGCGGAGGACTGGGGCTCGGTTGCTCGGCCGCATAATGTCCAGCCAGCGGGCAGGAGAAGGCGCGGAACGTGCGCTCCGAGGCGCGCCGGGCGCCCTGTGCTGGCCGAGTTAGCCGAGCCGCTTCTTGAATGGGGGGCCAGGGGGCGGGGGCCCCCGCGGGCGCTCAAATACCCTGGGTGCACGCCTCCAGGAGGAGGAGAGGGGAGGAGAAAACGAGGCAGGCGGCCCGCCTCCTTGCAGATCCTGTCCCCTCCTCGGCCGCCGGTGCCAGGAATCGCCGCTTTAGGCCCCTCCAGCTGCTGGAGGCGGAGGCCAGAGGCCCCCGCAGCGCCCGAGCAATCAGTGGCCCTCCGCGTCACCTCTCCGAGGTGGGGTTTTCAAAGTCTCTCAGCTAGAGAGGGAAAGCAGAGAAAGTTCTCTTTCCTCGGTGGCGCTCTGCCATTCACCCCGACTCTCCTCTCCTACTACCTCGGTCTCTCCCGTTTGGAATCTCTCCCTCTCCAGGCTTTGGTGAGGATCTCTCCTCTCCGAAGGTCTCTCCCTGCCCTGTTTTCTACTGTACCTTCTCCATTACCCCATTTCTGCCTGTCCCCTTCATTCTGTACCCATCTCTCTCCACCACCCCACTTGGGATTCCTTAGAGAGAAAGTAGCCCAGCGCCAGAGTCCCAATCCTACACTTGATCACCAGGAACCAGATTTGTCACCTGAGCTCCACTCTCCATTTAATTGCCTCAAGTTAAGAGTTTTAGAGTCAGGGATCTCAATCCTATGGTTCCAGTGTGTTTCAGATCCGTAGTTCCCTGAAAGTTTCGCAGCAGTTTAAACCCGGGTCTTCCCAGGACTTCTGTCGCCATGGCTGAAGCCTCTGCAGGTTTCTGTAGGTCCATGCTCACAAAAGGTTAAAAGTTTACTGTGCAGTCTGGGAGCCCCCGACGCTGCCCAAGATTTGAGGGGGAGGGCGAGAAGGTGTTGGTCCCGGGGGACACTCGACCCTCCAGGGACTTGTCAGTCACTTCCGCTTGCTTTTAGTGGTAGAGAGGATGGGAGCAGGGAAGTGACTCCAAGCAGACACTTCAAGTTATCACCTCCCTTCCTATGAGGGTGCACGTTTGAAAGTCAGAACTATACAGAGGGAGAACGGAAGACCGGGAGAGGGGAGAGAAATAAAGATAAATCCTGGATAGTTCAAAAGCACCTTTTCCCTTTGGCTCTCAGGAAGAGAGGAGGTGCTAATTCCAAGGGGAAGGAAATGGCGATTTCAGTAACAGATATGACTAACAAATTTATAATTGCCAAAGTTTCCTAGAACTGGGGTTCACTGCTGCTTGGCCTGCCATTGAGACCTGAGAATATCAAAGTGCCAACAGAAAGCAGTGTGCTGAGAGTGCCACCCATCCTGGAAACAATGACGTACACAGTTCTGATGATAGCGGAAAAGTGACTTGGCAGGGCTGCAGTTTCCTAAAGATGTTGCTAATCCAATTGGTTAGACACCCCTGAAATGGCCAGGCACCCGGTGTCCCTGCGAAATGTGCACTTGAAATCTCACTCATCAGGAAGCTGAGGCAGGAAATTGGAGAACTCTAGACCAGCTTAAGCGACACAGGAGACCCCATCTCACTACAAAATAAAAGAACAAAAGAAAGGGGGAATTTTAAAGGATGGCCTTTCAACCTTGAGTCTTCAAAAAACTCACAGAAGTGATTCTCTTCTAGTACGCCATCTTTCTTTTCATTACATGCTAAAGAGTCCGCTTAATCATCACTTCTGGGAGTTGAGGTTCAAACAAACAAACAAACAAACAAACAAACAAACAAACCAGAAATCAGGAAGTGACTCCACTGGAGCGCTTATAGCATTTCTGCTGTTCTCACAGGTCTAGCACTTTTGAAAATGTCTTCCACCAGGCAGTTCCTCTGTTTTAATTCAAATACCTCCCAATCAAGAGATGCTAACAGCACAGACGTCCCCCCAAGAGGGGCAGGAGAGAGGACTGCTTGGTAAGGAGCACTCCTTGGTAAGGAGCGCTCCTTGGTAAGGAGCACTTGCTGCTCTTACAGAGGTTCTGAGGTGGGTTCCTAGAACCCACCTATGGCTGCTTACAACTGTTTGTGACTCATTTCAGGGGATCTGACACCCTCTCCCGGCTTCCCCAACGCCTCTGCAGCACACATAATTAGAAATAAAAAAAAAAATCTTAAAAATCACATGTGTAGCTTCAGTCCTTTGGTTTCTTTCTAAAACGTTAAGAATGGATTCTAGGGGGCTCAGCCTTTCAGAGCACTGGCTGCTCTTACAAAGGACCTGGGTTGGAGTCCTAGCACTCACATGGCAGCTCACAACTGTCTGTAACTCCAGGGAAGCTGGCACCCTCACATGGATGCATGCAGGCAAAACCCCAATGTACATAAAATAAATGAATAAATCTTACAAAAAAAAAAGAGAATGGATTCTGTTTGCACCTTAAATACTGTTTCTGAGACCACAGTCATTTTTGTAAAATCTGATTTGAAAGTACCTGTTGTGATCTCATGAGGTCTCAGGACCACAGGCTTATGGATTTCTCATCTTCAGGGAAGTACTCATCTGTATATCCATGTCTTAGCCAGCCTCAGAACTTCTGGCCACAGAGAAATCTTAAAGCACAACAGAGAAACATGTTTCAAATTATGAGAAAAAGAAGATAAATGAGCTTGCTGGTTCAGGTGTTAATCTTAAATAATAATTCTTTCATTGAAAATTTACCATGTGCCAGGCCATGGTCAATTACCACATCTAATTTAATTTTTAAAACATCCCTACAAGGCAGGTGGTGTTAGCTATTTCCTTTTACAGATTAAAATACCAAGATTAAAAAAAAAACCTGAAGTACTTGGGGGCTGGTGAGATGGTTCAGCAGTTAAGAGTGCTGGCTGCTCTTCCAGAGATCCTAAGTTCAATTCCCAGCAACCACATGGTGGCTCACAACCACGTATGATGAGATCTGGTACCCTCTTCTGGTGTAGAGGCATACATGCAGATAGAGCACTCATATTCATAAAACAAATAATTTTTTTTTTAAAAATGACATTCTTGGACAAGAACCCTTGACTAGTAAGTGACATAATTTATATTATTTTGGAAGTCTCGTCTAACTTCATAATTATTATATGTAAGCTGAGATGGTGGTATATGCACCTGGAATCCTACCCAGTACTATGGAGGCAGAGGCAGGCAGATCTCTGTGAATTTGAGAGCATCTTGCTCTATACCGTGGTTCTCAACCTCCCTGATGCTGTGACCGTTTAATACAATTCTTCTTGCTGTGGTGCCCCTCAACTATAAAATTATTTTTGTTGCTATTTCATAACTGTAATTTTGCTACTGTTATGAATCGTATTGTAAGTACCTGTGTTTTCTGAAGGTCGTAGGTGACCTCTGTGAAAGGGTCATTCAAGCCCCCCTAAAGGGATTATGACTTACAGGTTGATTCTATACAGTGAGTTCCAGGCCAGTCAGGGATATATAGTAAGACTCTATCTCAGAAAATAAAAATAAACCCATAATTATTATATAACAAATGATTAATCATAAGTCTAGCTAGATTTGGAGAAGGTGACGAGTATTGTCTGGAAAACTGTTCCATTTCCCATTCCTCCTTCTCCTCCCCTTCTCTTCTCCTTTCCTGTCCCCTCTCCTCTCTTCTCCCCAGTGCTGGGGATTAAACCATTAAATGCAGACCTGGCATATTCTGTTAGTGCTAGACCACTGACTTACATCCCCAGTCCTGAAAAAATGTTTTTCTTTTTTCCTTTGGAACAAGGCTCCAGTTAAGAAGTTCAGATGGTCTTGAACTCCCGTCGTATCCCAGGCAGGTCTCAGGTTTTGAACTTGACATCATCTGGTGTCCTCTTTAAGAGTAGCTGAAGTTAGAGGCACGGGCCACAACATTCAGCTCTAACTTTTTCTAATGTGAGTAATAATAATTGTCTCGTATTTTCATAGCTTTTTCCTTACAACTTGCAACAGTCCCACACATAGTGTGTGCTCAAAAGTCCTGAATAAATGAATAATTGAATACAACCTTTCACCTTCAACACACACATGTACACCGAGGGGAGGAGGGCCTTGGAAGTTGGCTATATAAAGTGGTTATTAAAATTATCTGAGTCTGGAACAGAAGTGTGGATTTTAAAATCCCTCAACCCTGTGCACACAAACGTGTTCTCTGAAAGATTCAGTGCTTTCTGGGGTCATTTCGAGTTAACAGAGAGATAGTTCTTAGCCAGCTTTCCTCTCTGAGTTTTTACTGGAATTGAATGTTACTGTGGGTTAAAGTGGAGGCCTTCTTTGGCTGATTCTACATAAAAATTGGGTCCCTGAGGAGTGATGCTGGCAGTGGATTGCCTGGAAGATGGAAATAAAAGAGATCATACCATAAATGATTCTATTTGCTGAAATAAATGCCATCAAAACAACAGGAAGGAGAGAGACTATATACACACATACACAAACACACACACACACATATATATATATATATACATGTGTGTATATATATCTGTAAACATATATATGTATATATCTATGTCTATCCATATATATGTATGCATTGAGCCTGTGTATGTGTCTGTGTACCAAGTGTGCAATACCTGGAGAGGCCAGAAGAGGGCATCAGATGTCCGGGACTGGAGTTACAGAGGATTGTGAGCTGCCATGTGGGTGCTCAGAATGAAACCTGGGTCCTCTGCAACAGCACCTGGTGCTCTTAAGCAGTGAGCCATCTCTCTGGCCCTGGGAATCACTTATTTGCAGGATGCAACCAGAAAGGAACTACATCATCTTTGCCTGCCGTGTGGGTAAATGACTTGTGTACATTTTTTTAGTGTTACAGCTGCTGACGTCAAGCAAAGTATCATGCTAAGTAGCTTCTTGTATCCTCAATAGCAACAAGATTAGATGATGGGTAACCTGGAACTCACTATGGAGATCAGGCTGGCCTGGCAGTTGAAGTTGACTCTGCCTCCTGAGTTCTGGGTGGGCTCCAGTGTGTGGCTAAGCCCTTTGTGCTATTTACTTGGTCCTTAGAGCAACTTGGTAGTTTTTTTTTTATCGTCCTTATCTTAAGCAGAGAATCGGACAGCAAAGGGCGGTGCACTTCTGAGCACCACAGAGCTAAGAGTGCCGAGTAGGTGTGTGCTCTGAGCTGGGCTCAGCTCCAAGGCTTGCGATTTCTGTGATAGGGTGCAGCCTACTGACACACAGTCCTCTCTCTGCCTGATTGTTCAAGGTCCTTCAGCCTTTCTCCCCGACCTGATAAATACCACGTGGAAGAACATTGTTTTTCCTTCTACTGCTGCATTTAATGTTTGGAAAAGCTTCTGTTGTGACTGCCCTAAAAGTCCTTGGTCCTGTTTGTGAGATAGCTCTTCAAAACACACATCTGGTCGAGAACATTGGTTCCACCTTTCGCCTGGTTAATCACCAGGTGCTCTTTGCTTCCTTGTCCTTCTAACGACACCACGTGTCTGGTAATTCCTAATAGGAATCCCACAGTTGCTTCCTTTGCGACTTCATACACAGGTGCTCCCATCCTTCTCCTGCTTCCTCTAGTGTCACATGGAATGAGACTATCGGGCTCGGGCTTAACCACAAATGGAATTCAGAAATGCTGGACTTCTAGATTAGATCCAAACCATGCAAACTAAAGCTAGATTAGTTATCAGTGTGACTTGTGCCGATCCGAGTTCTCTGTTTCCTGAAAGCGCATGCTTGACAGAGATGGTTACTGGACAGACGCCCTCCTGGAAGCTGGCACGTGACAGATCACTGAAATTGGATCAGAATGTGCATGCCCAGAGTCCATACCTTTCCCTGGCCCAGCTGGGATGCCAGTGGTTGTTGCTGCTTCTTTAAGGATGTAAAGCACAAATCTATCTTCTCTGATACATTGTCACATACGGAGTAGGTACTTCTTTATTTTTTAAATGTGTTAACTGTTGCCACCAATTCGGTTCTTGCTTTTAAAGGGACTGTTTCATTTAATATCTAAAAATAATGCGGTTATAAATATGTACTCATACAGATTTTATGTAATTTTATACCATTGAGGTAGATTTTTGTTTTTCGTGATGTCACCATTCTGGGGAGGCAAGTACTGCTTTAATAAAAATCATCAGAATTTCATTTTTTTTTTTTTTTTTTTTTTTTGGAATAAGAAACCTTCAGGGCCAGTCTCCTCTAGTGATTACTTCTAGACCATGACTCACCAGACACCTGGGAGCACTCCATGTCTACTCAGTGCATCATGCAAGAGTTAGACCTCCCCTGTGGACACTACATAGCCTTTATCTGACCTAAAGATGGAGGAATAATGGCCACTCGTCTTAGAGAGTGTCAGGAAATGACTCGATTGTGCTGGCTCAAGACCTGTCTCCAAGCCAAGGTCTCTACACTTTCCAGTCAGTGGTGTCCCTGGAACCTGCCTGCTGATTAGGAGGGGCCAGTCTTGATTTCTGACTCAGAGGGAACTAGGAGCTTAGCGCTTCTTTGTCAATTAACCTCCCGATGATCATCCTCCTCAGTTTAGGGGCCTTCTCCACTCCACAGTGTGTGTTTATGTGCCATTGCTTTGAACGTTTCTCATACGTTCCTTGCTGCTAGTCTCATCATCCTTTGCCAAATTTGGGGTTTGTATGTGTGTGTGTGTCTATGTATGTATACATGTGAGTACAGGTGTGTGTGTGTGTGTGTGTGTGCCCATACTGGCCTGAATTCACTGATTTGGCTGTGGCTGGCCACTGAGCTAAGGGATCTACCTCTCTCCACTTCCCCACACTCAGATTTTCACACGGGCTCACGGGATTGAACAAGGTTCGCCATGTTTATGCTGCAAATCATTTACTGACCTAGCTGTTCCTTTGCTTGAATTTTAAAATATATTGAAAGAGATTTATTTTCTCTTCTTATAGCCTGCTTAAGTAAACAATGCATGGAAGTCGCACATTTCTTTCTCAGGCATTTTCTTTTTTAGCCTGAACATTTTTTGTATTTTATTTATTTATTTAGTGTGTGTGCACTCTCGTCCCCTGAATGCTACCGCACATGCAGGGAGGTCAGAGGACTACTTGGGTTTTGTTTTATTGAAAATTGATTTTTTCATAAAGTGTATTCTGACTGCAGTTTCCTCTCCCTCTGCCCCTCCCAGTTCCTCCCCACCTTCCCTTCCATCAGGATCCACCTTTTCTGTTTCTCATTAGAGAACAACTAGGCATCTAAGAGATATAATGCGATATAATAAGATTAAACAAAACCAAACCCTAACACGTCAGAATAGGACAAAACAAACCCACAGAAGGAGAAGAGCCCAAGGAAAAGCCCAAGTAACAGATACAGACAAAGAGGCCCACCCATTTGCACATTCTCTGTGGTACTGCGGCTTGGTTGTAGCTTGCTTATTGTTGACCTAACAGCCAATATTTACATATAAGTGAATACTTACCATATTTGTCTTTCTGGATCTGGGTGGTGATTTTTTTTAGATCTATCTATTTACCTGTGAATTTCATGATCTCATTTTTTAATGGCTAAGTAATATTCCATTGTGTAAATGTACCATATTTTCTTTATCCATTCATCTGTTGAGGGACATCTAGGT